TTGTTCTATCTATCTATCTCTCTGTCTATTTATTGTTCTATCTATCTATCTCTCTGTCTATTTATCGTTCTATCTATCTATTTATCTTTCTCTCTGTCTATCCATCTATCCATCCACCTATCTATCTATCGATCGTTCTATCTATCTCTCTGTCTTCAGTGAGATTAAAATTAGACATATAAATAATCCATATCAGACATAAAATATTGAGTTAAGATTAAATAAGGCAAGATGGAACATCAGATAAAATAGGCTGGATAAAGTTGGAGCACCCCAATGCTTTTAGATTTTAAAAAAGTCTGACTTAACTGAGTAAAGTAGACAGGGCAATGCATTATCGTGAGCCATGTGACAGAAACACTGTCTTGATGGCTTCTATCATCAATAAAGAAAGTGTGTTTCATAACATTGTAACCCACCAGCTTTCAGCAGCCCTTCTGCTGGTCCTTCTCATTAAAAAGCATCATCATATTATTGACAAATTCAAGATTCAAATTCAAGATGTATACACAGACACTATGTTGATGATGTTCTGGACGATTTGCTGAAAAGAAGCAGCCTTGCCCATATTTATAATAATACATTTTTATTTGTATAGATATTACACTTCTTCTTACGTGTGTGTGTGTGTGTGTGTGTGTGTGTGTGTGTGTGTTAGCTGCTATCTCGCTACAGAACCCTTTCTTTTGCAAATATTTGTTTTTTTTCTGGACATCTGCTTTTAATTCTGACCACTATCCATGACAACAGAGGCACTTGAATACCGAGGCAATGCTGACCCCTAGTGGGGAGGTTGAGTAATGCGCTGAAGAATGACAGCTCACCATGCTGACACTTATAGGATAAGAGCAGTGTCTATATGAGATAACTATATAGCTATATCTTTTAGTAATATAGTGAAGCTAACGGTGGTCAGCTAACACTGTAACATTATAACAGAAATGTAGGATACAGTAAGACATAATATATAGGATATAGTCTGTGGCGAAACATTTTGGCTAAATCTCTGTTTTTAAAACAAGGCTGAAAAACTTAAAGAGACGAAACTTTGGTCTAAGTTCACTAGGTCACCTAGACACAGATCTCTAGATCTAGACCTATATTTCTCTGTTTCTCCCTCTCTCTCTGTTTCTGTCTCTCCCTCCCTCTCTCTCTGTTTCTGTCTCTCCCTCCCTCCCTCCCTCTCTGTTTCTGTCTCTCCCTCCCTTTCTCTCTCTCTCTCTCCCCTGTCTCTGTCTCTCTCTCTCCCTCTCTCTCTCTCCTCCCTCCCTCTGTTTCTTTCTCTCTCCCCCTCCCTCTCTGTTTCTTTCTCTCTCCCCCTTTCTCTCTGTCTCTCCCCTGTCTCTGTCTCTCTCTCTCCCTCTCTCTCTCTCCTCC